TGGAGTACTGCCAACATTACACTTTTTGGATATCTCCATTACCTGGCACACCCATTTCAGGTCTTGGAGTCTGTACTAACAAGCTGATGAGTTCAGTCAGGTGTGATTAATATGCGTGTTTGGGATACTCCATGATCAGGGATGAAAACCACTGCTCTGTATTTTTACTGTAAACCCTATAAACCAATGGTACTTATCCTAAGGCCAATCCGGAACCAAAGAGCTACATTTAAAAACAGTCTCTAGTCTAAGGCGTACAGAATGTTTTGCACTTTTCCTCTCAACGCTGCCATCAAAGGATGGCTTGTGAACTTCAGGCTGAATACTAAGCCTTTAAACCTTTTGATTTATTTCCCAGGTGGTGCATTTGAGTGGGACGATGACTTCCCATCTCCAGAGCCCAATTTCCTTTCAAAGGCAGCCAGTGATCATTCTGCCAGTAGGCCCAGTGGGACCTCGGCGGCTTCTAAGTATTTCTCACCACCCCCTGCGAACCGCACCCTGGAGCAGAGCTGGAACAGTCCCTCCAACTACTCGCGCTTCTCCATCTCCCCAGCCAGCATCGCCAGCTTCTCCCTCACCCACCTCACAGACTCTGACATTGAGCAAGGGGGTAAGTTCAGCACCAACATCCACACACAAACAGAGTGGGACCTCAAGAATCTGAACTCTCAATCTTGTTTCTCGTTTTCTTTCTCAGGAAGCAGTGAAGACGGAGAGAAAGATTAAACAATCTATCAGACACGCATAAATATTGGAGATATGTCGCGGATGTATTTGATTTGAAGGCTTTGATTGCTTCTCAGGCAGCATTGGTATTTATTTGAGGATATGAAGGGGACTGCAGAGACTGAGCTGATGTCTGGATTTCCATGAACTATGATTTGCTATGTTTTTCATCAGTGCAATTTGGAGGAACCTTGCTTCACATATGCTTTAGAAACTTCCACGCGCTTCCTAAGTGCCATGCCTCACTTGTTTTCTTTTGCTAAAATGCATTTCTTCATTGTGTCCACATTTTACGCCAGAAGGATGAAGCTGAAGTTTATCACTCAACACTAATGAGCCAATAGACTCGAACTCAGTTGTGCAATTGAAATCGTATAATACTTGCCTTTTATTTTAACACACTGGATTTTATTTCATTTTTTATGTGAAATCTAGCGTGACGAGCTTATTTATATGATCGTGTAATGGATTTGATGTCCAATAGAAGCAACAGGGGTCTCCACAGATATTTTTGTACAGTGTTTGGACTACTCGTTGATAACA